TGGTGCAGCTGTACTGCCGGATGTGCCGCCGGGCGGGCTGCGGCCAGTGCGTGTCCGAGGAGCACCAGGGCATCTTCCACGCCGTCAATCTCCTGGACACCGTGTACCAGGAGGAGAAGGTTAGCCCGGCCCTGCCCGCTGCCCACCCGCTGTGCCCACCCGGGGGCGGGACGTGACACGCTGTGCCCACCGTGGGGGAACCCAGCGAGTGACTCTCCTCAGGCTTAGCCCGGACACACCCAGCAGTGCAGGGCTGGCTGGCGAGCACAACCAGCCAGTCCGCATCCTGGGAACCTGTTCGGGCGACACGGGCGAGTGTTGTAATACCTTAGTCAGAGCATTCCCGTCAGAGCTGGTAGGGCCAGGCTGCCGCAATAACAAGTCCTGGTCGTTCTTGTTTACTCCTGCATAGGTAACACGACCGACTTAGTTATCACCGTGCCATAGCAAGTTGTGCTTCTCCCTCTGTTCATATTCCTAGGACTTGGGATGTTAAATAATGGTTAACTGAATAGTTGATTAACTTCATGAATTCCAATCAGTCGACTATTCTATAATCTGGTGGGGGGGGGGCTAGCAGTGAGTGTGTTCTGGCCCCACTACTGGGGAGCCCTCTGCCACCACCTGTTTCTGCCTCTTTATCTTTTATTAGAGGCAGCAGCACAGGGAGCTGGTTCACAGGAGAGCCCAATTAAAAACCAGCTCCCCTGGTAGATGCGTGTACCAGCTCCTGTCAAGCTGCCTGCCTCCTGTGTCCCCATGCTGCCCACAAAGGCAGCAGTGGGAAGAGGGGGGCGGGGAATAGGCAGGAGCTGGCACTACCCACTAACACTGGCTCCTGCCTCTTCTCCCCATATAAAAGTGTAACCACTGAAATTTACAAAAATAAACACATTTTAACATCCCTAATTTGGATAGTGGATTTCAGAAAAACAAGATGAAATAGATCCAGGGATATTTCAGTATGAAGAAGGCATGTGTTATCTTCAAGGGAATTTTGCCACGATGGTAGACATTCAGTCACTTTTTCAAGCATCCTCTGAACTAGGAGGTGCATAGTGTATTATGTATTTTTATTTTATCAAAATAAAAAACTCAATAATAATAACTGGGGATTTCTATTATCCCCATATTGACTGGGTACATGTCACCTCGTGATGAGATGCAGAGATAAAATTCTTAATGCCTTAAATGACTACTTCATGGAGCAGCTGATACAGGAACCCACAAGGGGACAGGCAATTCTCGATTTAGTATTAAGTGGAGCGCAGGATCTTGTCCAGGAGGTAACTATTACAGGACCACTTGGGAATAGTGACCATAATATAATAACATTTAACATTCCTGAAGAACACCTCAGCAGTCCAACACTCTGGCATTTAATTTCAACAAGGGGAATTATGCAAAATTAGGAGGTTAGTTAAAGAGAAATTAAAAGGTACAGTGACTAGAGTAAAATCCCTGCAAGCTACGTGGAAACTTTTCAAAGACACCATAATAGAGGCTCAGCTTAAATGTACAGGCAGTCCCTGATTTACGCGGATCTGACTTACGTCGGATCCGCACTTACGAACGGGGCTTTTCTTGACCGGGAGCTCACGGGCGGCAGGTCGCCACCCATGTCCTCCGGGGCGAGAAAAGCTTCTCCCGGTCTCCCTGG